GAGAGGAAATTGCCATGAGTCATGCATCAGTCAGCTATCATTTTTTTTCAGAGTGAAAAACTTAGCGGGTGTTTTGCACACCGCAGTTGTGCATGCAGCAGGAGGGGGGGGGTTGGAGCGTAGCCACAGCAGATTTCTCAGATCCAAACACAAGTTGACAAATCACGTGCCTCCATAACTGTTAAAGGAGAACCAATCAGGTGGCTTGCTCAACACACAGCTCTTTGTCGTGCTGGATCACTCAAAACAGTCGTCATGCTGTGTGATCGACAGAGTGTTGTACGAATACTGATTCCTCCTCAGCGTAGGCTCATTCATGGCGGTCCAATTTCAGTTTATTGCACACTGTTGGGTTCATTAAAGAGCTGAAAAGCAGAACTCAATCTGCTCTGCAACAATTGCAGGAACACACATTACTGCAAATTAGCCATGAGACCTGCCAAGACCAGGGCTTCTCAATCATGGATTACCTGTCTCACCTTGAAGCCTTGAGCTAAGCCCTGCATTTTTGATTTAGCGGCTGTTTGCGGCACTGGTATTGCTAATCATTTATCACTTTGACACATGTTAAAATGTTTGGAGACGAGCCTCAGATACAGCCCAGCCACGTGATGCGGATATATGAACAAGGCGTACAAAAGAGCAGATCGCTACGTTTTGGTTGGGCAACGTCAAAATCCTTTAATGAAGGTGGTTGTTAGGAGCGAGGAGTGAGGGAGGATTTCGACACGACCGTGTGAAACAAAGCCATCCCATCGGTGCCTACATGCCAACACAGTGAGCCTGACCACAGCCAAGTCGCTGGCGTATTTACACAATAGTAAAGCTCTCTGTCTGTGGTTAGCCGTCTCACTCGCGTCATTCCTGTTCCATCTCACAATATGTCACACCCTGCTCTGAGATTTCTACACCTCTCCTATAAAAACAGTGACTGGGAGTCCTTGGAAGAAGCCAGAGCGAACAAAGGGGCCCAAAAAAGTCAATGTTGAAACTCTTGATTTGCCAAGGGGCAATTGTGTAATTTCAAAAGTAGACCATCACCCATATCTCTGCTCCCGGTGTCACCAGACTGGTTCTGATGAAAGGCCACGGAACAGGCATGTCAGCCAAGGCGTGAGCCGCTCGCTCAGTCACAGCGTTTATAAGCACAGGGATATGTGAGCAGAGCATCTTGAGAAAAGCAAATATGAACAAACTGTACTCCAAATTAATCAACTTCTAAGGGAGTTACCCGGCACAGACAGAGAAACACACCAACACACAGAGTTTCCATTCCCACCCTCCTTTTCTCTGCTGCTCTGGGGCGAGATGGTCATCAGTTTCAGTTTCCAGTAAAACTTTTTTTTTTTTAAAGTCTTTCTTTAGACAAAGACATTTAAGATACCGTTCATTTAGGAACCAAAATGAGCAGCAGGGTAACACCTGTGATGTAAAAAAGTGGGTTAATTCGTATAATTTACGACACTACTTTTTAATCAGGTGTTCTTTTTCTCTAAGACCTGATAAATATGGACAAAAATAACAATCGTTTTACAAAACTGGCCCCAGTTTTTCAATTTTAAAATACATTTAAGCAAAGTTACACTATGATATGGTGTTAGTCTTCATACCTGACACACACCTGTACAAAGTGTTAGCATCTACTGACATAAACAGCTCAAAAAGTTTCAGGATTTTTAATACAAACTATTTCTTTTTTGTATACAAATCATACCAAACCTTAGCTTGCTACCTTACTAGTACCAGGCTGGACCACATGTTTGCCTTCATACCTGCTTTAATTCTTCGTGGCATAGATTCAATGAAGTGCTGGAAACGTTCCTCAGAGATTTTGATCCATGTTGGCATGACAGCGTCACACAGCTGCTGCACATCCATGATGTGAATCTCCTGTTAAACCACACAGAGAGACCTGGTGACTGTGGAGGCCATTTGACTACAGTGAACCCACCGTTACAGTGTGTTGTCCTGTCGGAAGCATCCAGCAGAAGATAAGCACGGTGTGGTTATAAAGAGATGGACATGGTGGGCTGCAATAATCAGGCAGGCTGTGGTGTTTAAATGATGCACAGTTGGTCCTAAGGGGCCAGAAATGTGGCATGAAAATACCCTTCACATCGTTACATACCACAACCAGCCTAAACCGCTGGTACAAGACAGAATGGTTCCATGCTTTCATGTTGTTCACGCCAAATTCAGACCCTACTATCTGAATGCCACAGGTCAAAGGAGTGTGCCCAGTCGTCTGACCGAACACTGACATTTCTACCCGGAGGACTGCTGCTTTCTGGACATTTTCCCAGTAGATCAACAGCTCCTGATTTACTCAGACCAGCCCATTTGGCACCAGCAACCATGCCACATTCACTTAAATCACCTTCATTCTTCATTCTGATGCTCAGTTTGAACTTCTCCATGTCTACATGCAGTGACCTGCTGCCATGAGATTAGCTGATTAGCTATTTCTATTAATGAGCAGCTGAAAAGATATACCTGAAAAAATAACCTCATTTCTTTAAAAACAACCTAATCTTTATTCTGAAAACATAATTTCAGATTGTTGGTGCCCGATGATGCTAATTATTTAAATTGCATATTCATTCATGCATATTTTTAACTACATTTTAAATACTACATTATGAAGCACACATGTTTTTAGTTTCCTATTTCAAAATTTCCAAATTACAAAAAAAAAAAAATCTAATTTCAACGATTTCATCTCACTTTTAATTGTGTGGTTTTGAACATACAGCTGTACGCACTATTAGTGGCTGACATGAACAATTTTAAATACTTTAAACTGACGTCTAATGCTTATTTGTACAATTTCCTTTTAAACATATACTTGTAGGTACTTTACAACATATTGTTCTGTTTTTTATTCGCCTGCTTAGTAACAAGAGATTTATTTATTCATTTACTGTCTTATTTACAACATACACTGTATATTTGAGCAAACACTGCAATACCTATTGAAGCAGGAGAAGAGAAGCTGAGAACAGAGGTAAACACTGTGTGAAGGGCCATCAAAATCAAATTAAGACATCAAAGAATCGGCTAAACACACAGCTAAGAGAATTTATCTCTGAGCATTTGCTTGTGCCCCGCTGGCTGCCTGCCAGTGGTTTGAATAGAAAAGTGAGTCTTCGGGAGTCTATTATGAACTCGACACAGCCGAGGTTTTCTACAGTGGATGTGAGCCACTTCACTTTTGAAGGCTGCAGAACAACTTTGTGTGCGGTGAACGTTTTGTGTGTCGACTGTGGTGCCCTAGCTACCGTTTACATTTAATAAAAAAGAAGGGAAAAAAAGATAATGCCTCGTATTTAGCTGAGCCAAACCGTCTCCATGGTTACTGGCTAGGGGTTTTCATTCTTGATTCACTTCCTCACCCAGGGCGCTCTTTCAGTGCCCTCCCCCTTCTTTCCCTTTGCTCTTATTACTACATTTAACTCCAGTTTGTCCCCGCGTGGTTTCTTCTTCTCTTTGGGACGATGTCTGCTCCTCCCGCTTCCTGCTCGGTGTCACCCCTGCGTTTATGCCTCCCACACAAAGCCCTGCGATCTCAATGAAAGCCAGACATGCACACTGTACTCATGCTCTGACTTTAAAGAAAACAACTCGTGCCTGTAGCTAGGCAACTCCAAATATGAGTCATCCCACTGCCGCGCCCATCAACTGATCAACACCCCCCCACCGCCGCCGCCACACACACACGCACACACACACACAAACACACGCACACACACAAACACAGAGCTCTGGGTCCTTTTTAAGAAGTGTAGCTGTTAACATTATCTCTGCAGTCTCTTCTAACCTTCATGGTAGCTGCGGAAACACAGCACTGATGATAATGCTGTAAGGACGCAGCCCATCTCTGGCGTCAGTTGATCTGAACCACAATCTGATGGCATGACTGATATCAGCTCCACACTCACTGCCTGTCGAAAGGAGTTGGTGGCAAACTATCGCTGACCATCTTTCTCAGTTGATCGGTTCAGTTTTTCTCTGCTGACAAAGCCATTAAACAGTCTTTTCCATGAGCAGGTCTCTCCAAAGGGAGTTTATCAGCAAGTTATTAAAAATGAACACAGTTTGGAAAAAAAAAAATGCAAAATGCAAATGAATGAAAGGAAGTGGAGTCATTGCAAGTAAAAGCAGGAGTTATGTGGGGAAATATTCTTCCAGTGTGAGTTACTTTTAGCCTCTGACTAATTTTTCTGTCAGCAGATCACAAAAATAAATGACTTACAAAAAAAGAGGGCAGGGGTCAAATGATCTGAATTTCAGGGATGAAATGGCATCTATCAGAAAGACAGAGTCACATGTGTAGCTGAGCAAATGCATGTCCAGATGTTTTAATTAAAAAAAAAATCAGCTACTCAACTGTATTAGAAGATGAAATATATACAGTTAGCCAGACTTACAGATTAGTAAGTCTACATGATTTCAGTAGGGTTCATAAAATAATGCTCTTCAAATCTTCGGTGACTTTGTGCAATGCAGTGCTGCCCTCTAGTGGACAGAGACGTAAATACATGTTTAAGATTTGTGACAATCAAAACTAGGATCGCTGAAGCGACACAATGCTATTTTAATTTTGGCAATAAGACCCAGATTATTCCGAGACATCACTCACAGTCATGTCTATACACAGTGTGTGACCAAATCAGTTAAAAAAAACAAACAAACCTCAAAACAAACACGAAATATCTTATGTGTGTTTAGGGAAGTATATAAATAAGACTAACTAGTAGTATGCCAAGTTGATAATATCCCACACGCTATATGACTAGACGGAAAAGGTAAGATTAGATTAGCAGCTGGATGCTAACAGCGCCAACATAAACACTTGGGACAGTAACGGGTAAGAGCGCGTGCCTCTTTGCCAATTAAGGCCAATTAAGTGACCAGGTGAGCTGACAGGAAGTCTACAAAAACACTGCCGCCCTTCATTCCGTCCCAGTGTTTTGGTGCAAAGACAAAAACGCGTATTGGGAATGCATTTGAAACATAAAGGATACTTCGGTGTTGTGCTTATTTACACCATCACAACAATCGCTTTGCCTCTAGTAAGCCGGTGCGAGCCCACTGCGTCCTCCTTCCAGTCGAATTCTCCTCCTGATGACAGCAAAGGTCATTTAACTACGGAAAGCAGCAGCAGTCATTCCTCCGGCCCTGACGTCGGAGAGCGGCTGGACCTCGGCTCAAGGCGCGCAGAAGACCTCCTAAACTCTGACGACCTCCACAGCAGGAAAGAGAAACCCAGCAGCAGCCCCGAAGAAAAGCCTGAGAAGAGACTAAGACCCAGAATGGCGTCTTCTTCGGGTCCTACAGGTGTCAGTGGCCGTCACAACCCCAGGCAAGCCGAGGACGAGCCGGTTTATTCATATGGAGACTGCAGAGAGGGGAAAATTAAGCACGTAGTTTACGGCAAGTTTGTCATCGCTGGCCAGCTGGAGCCAAACGTCCCAACTCTCGACTACCAATCAGATTCCTCTGCTTCAGGTAAGCTACTGTCCTGAACTCACCTGACCCCAGGCTCCTCCTCACTGTGCTTGCGTTTTACTTTGCTACTTTAATACTCCCCCAACGAAACCAGTTTGATAATTTTAGTCATTTTTATAAAGTAGTTGGTACATTTTAATCCCTCCTGATGATTAGAAACTATTCTACCACTAAAACTAATCTTTTCACTATAAGAGGCATTTTGTGTCCGGTTTTCTTATCCATTAGTTTGCTACATGAAACTCCCAATCTCTCCCTCTTTCACTCACGCACACACACTTTACATTCTGTATAATCCTCACACTAACACCATATTCTCAGAGGTGGTTTGTTTTTGTTTACCAGTCCGGTCTCTGGGAAGCCAGACAAGGCTCAGGGGTCACCGGGTCAGCAGCACAGTGGAGAGCTGGCAGAGGCTGCTGCCTGTGGTGGAGTGTGAGGAGGACGGCATGACCCTCACTGTCAGGAGGAGACGAGCTGCACAGCTCCTGCTGGACCGAGGTGATGCTACACCTTCTGCATGTCTATGCGCTCCAATAGCCTGGATTTTATACTTGCACTATATTGCAGTGTTTGTTTGTTTTTTTTTTGGGAAACCCAAACAGTTTCTTAATATTAGTAAAATTAAGATTTTGTGTCGTCTATTTGTGTCCCAGCGAATGAATCATCGGTGCCTCTGTCCCAGCTACCACCACAGTGTGGTTACACTCTTGAGACCACATGGAGAGACCTCCGTTTGATGGCTCCATATTACGCTTGTCATGTCATTCAAAAGGTGCGTGTGTCTGTGTGCTACACTTGGATCTTAATTTTTTACATTTTTTAAAAAAAACATTTGAAACCGTTTTTGTAATTTTGCCTTCAGACACCACCACACTAAATTAATCTAGATGTGATGTCTGTGTTGTGCACTGTGAGCTGTCCAATCAGTTTAGCAGTATAACTCAAAAATTACACAGAAAGTGATTTAAACATAAAGTACATATTCTGTTATTAAAATATGTGAAATTTAAATGATCATTTACATTTTCTTTATGCAACTCTATAACTTTACTTTCACGCATCTAAGCAAAATACCTCCAGTTTTGGAATGTTGATAGGAAAATTGGAATAAGTACGACTAACAAATGTACTAAACAGACATTCACTTAAATACAACATCTGTTTCTCATGAAAATCATATCTTTATAACTCCTTTTTGAGCTTTTTTGTTCTGGCATTGCTTCAACTCTGCATTCAAACTCTTCCACAGTTTTGCTGCATGCACAGGGGTACACGCATCCAGATTTGTAAAAAAAAACAAAAACATTTAAATTAATATTTGCTTTTCTCAAAAGAGAAAGCTGTAAATATTTCCTGGTAGTTGGGTTTTTTTGTTTGTTTTGTTTTTTTCTGTCTGAACAAAATTTGTGCCACATTATCTCCACAGTGTTTGACAGAAAATGTGGTGTGCTTCAGATCACAAGCCATTTTTCTCTTCCCATCATTCTGATATGAGTTCTTGGTTTGATGGGTCTAAAGGTTGTTTTTTGCATAACTGTGCAGGCTCTTTAGATGTCTTATGACAAAGCCTAATGTGGCCATGTTGTTGTTTGTATTACTAGGTTTTGTCTTGTCATAACTCTTTTCTCTTTGTTTTAGACTTTGATAATGACCCGTCTGCTTCATCCAGAGTGTTCTTGAGTTGCTTAGATGTTGTGCAGTTGGTTTTCTTAACCATGGAAATAATTCTGTCATCATGCACTTTAGTTGTCTTCTGTGGTCTTCCAGGCCCGTTGTGGCAGCTGAGCCAGTCAATGCAGTCATTCTTTTTAACACTGCACCAGATTATTGATTTGGCCACTTGTAAAGTTTCTGCTGTCCCCAAGTCTAAGCAGTTTATGTGGAACCTCTGAAAAATGTTGGACTGTGTGTAAAAATGACTGTTATTCCTAAAGAGTTAATGCAATTCTTTAGTGAAATTTATACTTCAATCGCATGTTTTTTTTCCCTTCATTTTCCCCTTTTAAAGCCAGAGAGGCAAAACAGCCAAAACTACAAAAAATAATGTACAGTGTGTTTGTTTTTGGCTGCATTGATACAGTTTTAAGTGTCAAATTGTATATAAAATGTCCAAAACTGGGCTAATTGTTCTTATTTAGTAAAAAATGAGTTGGTTTTGTTTTTTTGTAAAACCTTCCTCCTTTTGTGACTGATCAGAGGAGTTGTACAATCACGCTAAATAATCTTGGAATCTGGCAAACATTTCTCTTTTAAAATCCTGAGCATGTATGGTCTAAGGTGGGGTGTTTTTAGCTGAGGGTGGTGTAAATGCTCTCTGCTTTTATTCAGGATGGCAGCTATGTGCTGCCTCTGCTATGGAGGGGAACCCCGGTCAAGATGTCCTGTCCAGTCTCTCAGATCAGCCCTCACACTGTGGGGCTATCCTCCCTCTGCTGCTCTTCACATGGGATGACTGTCAAAGTACACGAATCGACTCCTTTGGAGAAGCAGAGAGTAAATGGTAGGCTCCCCTTTCTTTCTATTGGCATCAAACTTAATTTAGATAATAGTTTAGCCTTTTGCCCTCATATGTTGAATCAAATATGAACTTTTATTTCTCTTCTGTCTGCAGTGAGAGGAGATTGGACCCCTCTAGCTCTGTTGGCTGAGCAGTGTGGCTACACTTTGACTAAGCAAGATGCAGATACTTTAATTGCTGCTCCGTTTATTACATGTGGCATCACAGAAAAGGTGAACTTGAGAGCATGCTATACACAAGACAGACTAGTTGTTTTTATTTCTTTAGCCCATCTGGTTCTCCAGCATAATCATCGTATCTGATGATTACTACATGTGCACATTGTCATTTCCTGTGGTCTTTAAATGTTGTGTTGTTTTGTTTTTCCTCCTCCAGGATGGAGAATATATACTTCCTCTCCAGATAGGCAAGGAAATCTTCACACTTGCCTGCCCTATGTCTTCTCCTGAAGAGCTCTCCATTAACACTCAGCCTCTGGTCAACAGCCCAGCTCATCTAACCAGGGGGGAAGAAGAACCTATGTTAGGGACTCAGGAGCCTTTTCCATGGGCCCCTCCTTTCTACCTGGCTCCACCATACTATCCTCACCCTACATATCACCATAGTTATGCCAGTCCTAAAGTACATGCTTCATATGATTCTCCTACTCCAGCATCTTTGACTCCTGAGCCGACTTCTAGCTCTCAGCTTCACCCTCCTGTTGATTTCCAGCCAGATTATCAACCCTACTACGTCTACCAGATGCCTTTCTGGGAGCCGTATGACAGTCCTCCGTCACTCGTTGAAGAAATGGAAGATTTACGTCGGGAGAACCCAGAACGAAGAAAAAATCAAGAAACTCCTTTTTTGGTGTTCTCTGAGAAGCACAGTGTCACACCTACAGGCTTTCCAGCTCAGCTCGAAGCGCCGCATTTCCAGCCTCTGAGACACGATTTCAATCCATACTACCACTACTACCATCACCCCAAAATCCCCCTTTCTGGCAAACCTCAAAACCCTGATTCAGGTCTGGATGTTTCTCACGAAATCTCTTCAGCTCACTTGCGTAAACATGAATTTTCAGCTTTGGCCCCTAACGTTCAGCAGTCTAAGAGCATCAGGAAAGTCACCTCGGACCAGTTCCCTCCACCTGTGTCAGAGACTACCTTTTATCCCTACGCCCAACCGGAAAATGCTAAATTGGTTGACAAAACCCTTGAAACTCATGCTCCTTACCTTCTAAACCCATATCTTTACTACTATTACTATTACTTTCCACATATTTCAAGGGGTGAGGCTGAAATACTGGTTCCATCACATCCCGACATGCCTGGAGAAACAAACTTGTCGAATTCCTCCCCACTTCCTCTTTCACAAATTCTTCCAGTAAATGAGCACAACATGAATGACTACATAGAAGCACACAAGAACTTTGAAAAATATAGCACAGAGCAGATCAAACATCCTAATTTGTCTGCTAAAGTACATTTGGAGCACAATGATGCAAGTCGCTCTGCATCTGTGTCTCCTGCAGTGCTGCCTCCAGTCCCACAAGGTCCCCATCATAGACTTGAGCCTCAACAACGCCCTCCTCACACTCAATCATTCATCAATCAACTGACTCCTTACCAGTACTACTACCACCCTTATTATCATTACTCTCAGATGTATTACAGACCTGGAAACCAAGTTTCTCCAGCTTCACCCCATCTTCTTCAAGCACCTTCTGCTCCAGCTCAACATCTGACTCCACCTGTACAATCAGTGTATGGTTTTCATAACTGGATGCATAGTCCTTTTTATTACCTATACTACCCATCTAAAGTGCCCGAAGACAACGAGCTCCATCCTACAGGCAGCATAAACTCTGAAAACAAATCTGTTAAATCTCAGCTTCCCTCAGGCTTTGACTATGGCATGATGGCAGGATATTTTAACATCCCTCTGCCACTGCACAATCCTTTCCATAGTTTATATTCACATTATATTACTCGGCAGCACCATAATGAGCAATCTGAGAAACCTGATGAAGATGCAAAAGAGAATCTAGACAAAGTGAGAGGTAAATGATCACATTTAAGGGTTTATCAATCTTGAATGCTTTGCAGTTTAAATGTTTGGTCTTACAGTTTTAGTTTGATTGCACTGAAATGTTGTGCTTAATCAGAAATGCAGTGTTTTGACTTCAGATCACCACCACAAGGGGGCAGGAAACCCTCGGCCTAATGTTGTGGCTGTAATTACACACCTGTATTGTATATTTTCCATCTCATGCTGCTGAGTCATCCATAACAAGTTCTCCTTGTTTTGTTTGCTTTCCTCTCAGATTACCTCGAGGCCCACACGTACACGCCCTCCGCCTCACCCTGCGGCCTTGGCCTTGGACCAGATACTGATTGCAGTAACTCTTTAGGCTGCTGTTCAAACACTGTGAAGGGTGAGTCTCACACAATGCAAAGCTTGTAAAAACTTGTCTAAAAGGATGACGACTGTAAAGGGGGAAAGCAAATGACTAATGCAACAACTCTCAGGCTTGAAGCCTTAAATAAGTATTTGATCCCCAAGCAAAACATGACTTGGTGCTTGGTGGTGAGATCCTTGTTTGCAAGCACAGCGGCACAATGTTTCTTGTAGTTAGCAGGGGATCCAATAATTATTTCCCACTCTGTATGTGTGTCTGCAGGCTGTACAGTGGGACAGTACTGCGTCTTTGCGGTGCCTGACTCTGTAGTACAGCCCACAGTTGCTCCTCCGGCTCATTCCCCTGAGGACATTAATGCTTCCTGCACGCTGCAGAGGTTGACCCCTGATCTTGACATCTACATTGTACCTCTGGATGGCTGCGGAGTAAACAAACATGTAAGGCACATTCCATGTTATCACATCATGTAGATCCCCCACCCCCCAAAAAGAGGAAAAATGGACAAACACACGCCACTGTGGCAGGATAAATGAAAGCTTTTTTTAAAAATATATATATTTGATAGATGCTTGGCGAGACGGTGGTTCATCTTTTGGAAGTTCGAGGTTTACATTCTTACCAAAACGGCGATTCTGCACATGAGAGTTCTCCTTTCAGGTATGTCACTGCTGTTCACAGGAAACTTGCTTTTGTAACCATTGCCAGCGGCCTTGTAGTACTTAGCTTTAAGCATTCAGCTGTAGCAGGAAAGATTGTTTTCTCTTAAAACATTGTCCATCTGCTTTGTTTTGGCTGATGTGTTGTTGTTTTTTTTCTTTATGTTAACAGCCACCTGTTCTACTCATTTCCAGCTCCACGTTTGTATTTTTTGACTTAAAGAGTAGATTCATATGATTCACAAATCTAATTTCAAATTGTAATTCTAATTTCAAGGAGGCTTGCACAGCAAGTGGATGAGGCTCTGTCTGAGATGACCACACTTGGGATATCTCCTCCATTTGTCTTCATAAACATCCATATTTTTAGTTTTAGAAGTCTTTTAAACTCTGAATGCAGAACTATTGTGCGGCTCCTTTATCACAAATTATCAGCTCATGATGCTGCTGAGATGTTCCTGATGAAGCTCAGGTTGCTTGGATGGGAGCATGTAGTGTTCCTATTTTTGGGTCTGGGCTCTCCTCTTCAGACCTCAGATTCTGTGTGCAGTTCAGGTCAGGCGAGAGAGCTGGCCATGCATGCTTGGCAAAATATTTGGTAGTTTTGCCCCATGTGGGCAGGTGCTGAGTTATGCACAGTTATTCTTCTCCATGCTTGTTGTCACGAGCAAGGTTGTCATCATCAAGTGCTCCAAAATCTGGTAAATCCCTTCATTGACTTGACACCACAAATCATCAGACTGCAGAGTCCTGACCTCAATGTCCAAATTAAATCCAAAATCTATTTTTTTTCTAAAAGGCAACTTTAGACCGTTGACTGTTCTCCTTCGTGTAAGTAGGTCGTCTTATGTCAGCAACTTTTCTTACTAAATGCTTCCGTTCCAGTCAACATGAATCACTTGTGCTTCATGAACAGCCATTTCTGCAAAATCCTTCTGTGGTTTATACTCCCGTTTGTTGGAAGGTTGTCAGACTTCTGATTTGACCTCAACATGACCCTGCTTGTGTGCTTGGACAAGGATACAGTATTTAAACTGTTTGAATAGTAACTTGAACTTGATACTACCCTGATAATGCTATACTGGATTCTAACTGGACTTTGGCTTTCATGAGCTACAATTATCGAAATGAATCCAAAGGTTTTGAGACACTGAATTTTATGTGTAATCCTACTTGTATGGAAGTTTACCTTTTTGTTTGGGAAATATTTTTTACTTTTTGGTGATGATTTATAACGGGAAGCAAGGAAAAGCAAAGTGATTCCTGTCAAAGTCATTGTTCTGTGGTTTGTCAACAGTTTGAGCAAATCTGCTCAATCTTTCTCAACCAGTGTTTTGTGGGGCAATTTAAAAAAAAAAGAAGAAAAAAGTACTTGCTATTTGTCCACAGGTGTCCAACATGGAGCCAAAGTGTTTTCAGCTTTAATCCATGTCCACCATTTTTTGATGCCATGACCATCGTCCACTCCTTAAACTGCTCACTTTCAGCTGACAGATGGAGGGTGCTGATTCCAACACATTGATATTTTAACTATATTTCCTTTAATGACAAACTGCAACATGAAAGGGAAGTACCTCGTTTTATATCATTTCTCATCCCTATTTAAAACTCTCAGCTGTCGATGGGTTCAATAGGAAGTGAAAGATGAAAATGACTAAGTCTCAGCTGCTCAGAAAAGATGCCTCCTCCAGCTGTTATGACACTCATCAAAATCTCAGAAATATTAGATCTTCACAACTGAATTATGTGCCTGGCCCACCGCACAGTGGCCATTCTGTATTTTCTCTGTGGTTATAAATGTTTTTCCACGGCTTCTGTATTTACATAGTCACTTGCTTCTTGTGTGGCGCACAGTTTGGCACCAAACCAGCTGCCTTTAGGTAAATAAGATACCAGGATCTTGTAAAAGGCTTTCTAATCTCACAAGTGCGCCATCAAGGCTTCATCCTCAGCTTCTTCTTGTTTCCATTATATGTTCTTTCTTTTTGTTTTTGTTCTTTAAGCAGTGCTTTGATCAACAGATGCTTTTCAAATGTGTATTGTTTCAAAAAAATTATGTATGTGTGTGTCCGTCTCCTTCCCTCCACAGGTTTATGGTGGGATGTAGTTCCTCAGCAGATTCTCCAGGTGAAGTGAAGTTTCATGTGATGGATGAACAGCCTCCTCTTCCTCTCTCACAGCCAACACCAGCCGCTGTCACTGTGCAACTGAGAATTGCCGAAGGTAATTTTTCTTTAACATCTGTTCTGTTCAAGGACCAGATCATAGCGTGGAGCCAGTAGGCCGAGTATTCTTAAACACTTTATTAAAGCGTTTTTCTTTTTCCCTGCAGATGAGTCTTTCACCAGCTACCACCCTGAGGCTCACCTCCCTCTCAGCCTCTTGCAGGGCAGAACAGTTTATGTGGAGGTTAGCCTGAAGGACCCCTCAGAGTCCACACTTGTGCTGCTGGTTCACTCCTGCCTGGCTTACACTGAAGCTCCATATCCCAGTGGGATGCTTGTTTATGATGGGTATGTTTACCCAAGGAGGAAAATGACATCCTCACAGATGGTCTTGTTGTTGTTCATATTGCTGGCTTCCCCAGTGACCATTTAACATGATCAGTGGTTTAGTGTGCTGGGGGATATGGACACACTGCATGAAACTGTAGTTGTATTAGTAAGTACTAATTTTCTAGTTAATTGCAAAACAGTTTCTCTGTGGTTGTTCATGTTAAAGGACATGTGTTTAACAGTATGAACTGCCATTTGAATTGTAAATTTGACAGCTGTGCCAGCAATTTAAGAAATGCCATTGGCTTTGCAAAGCTTGCTAATCAATTAGTGCACTGCATAGATGCCAGTCATGCCTCTGCAAGTAGATGAGTATGAGGTTAAAACCTGTTCCTGAAAGCTGCGTGAACCCTGGAAAATATGCAAAGAAAAAACAAAACAAAAATCTAAACCATCTTGGAGGAAATGATTGGTGGATTTTTACTAAAGACTCGTCTCACAAATTCCACTTTCCACAATTCAAACTCAGTGAGGTGGGCATTACTTAATAACACAGTGTGTGGATATTTGTACTGCTTTGATTTTAAAGCCGTCATGATCTTTTTAATGAAGATTTACGTTGTGTTGCCAAAATTACTGCTGACACTGTGTGAAGGCAACCTTGCAGCCACAAATCTCCAACACCCCCTTCTTTAATGCCAGTTGTTGGTCAGTCTTTGGTTGTAAAGGCATGTCACTGTTATGTCGTTCAGCTGCAGCAGCCTGGGGGTTTTGCAGGTGCTTCCGACCTCGGACTTGCAGGTCCGGAAGATTGCAATTTACAGCTTCCTCTCTCTTCCACCACACATGACTAAAGGGGGCTCCCTCCGAGAAGATCCAGAGGTATTTCCCACCTAAGATGCACACAAGTAAACAGCTGTTTGTGTATAAGTTGCATTCATGTTCAGGCCCAGTGCAGATAAGTGAACTCTGGTAGTAATGCTATTGTTTTTGGTTTGTCTTTCCCTCCTCACTCAGATCCACTTCATGTGCCTGACAGAATTGTGCTCTGATGACTGCACCCTAAGATGCCTCAAAGGTAAGACCATAAAGAGAAATGAAACACTGGGCAGCTTGTTCATTTAAAAAGTATAAAAATACTAGAGTATTTTTGAAAAGTTTGATTCCTGACTGAAAATTGTTTTAATTTAAACACTCTTTTAATAAAATCTGATATCTGCAGACTTCTAGATAAACAAAGTTTTCTAACTTTTCATTCTATACGTCACCCAAGTAGACTGGCAATGAAGCAATACGGATTCAGTGGTTGAAAATTTGCTAACAAATGTGCAGGAAAATCTCAGAACATGATGACGCAAGTTGACATTTACGTTGTGTAATGTGGTAATAGTCAAAAACAGAGGGGCCAGGTGAGACTTAGCTCATCGCATCTAAATAAACGCCTTCTTTGGAAAGAATGATGAACTTGAAGCAAAGAACGAGCTCTAAAGAATCACTTGTTCAGTATGGTGGAGGCCGTGTTGTAGTATAACTGTGTATATGTGGCGCTAAAGGAACTCGATGTTCCATTGAGATTCAGTCTAATGCTCAACCTGAACGGCACTTCTTAAACCACAAAGGCCAAGGCACCGCTGGGTACTGATGGGCGATAACTACACACGTGAACCCGGTAAATAAAAGAATGTGCCTAAACGGGGAAGTTGGTCTCAACACTTTTCACTACCTGAGGCAGAAAGTTTCAAAACCAAACGGGACCTGAAAGCATCTGAAGCCAAATGTAAAAATTCTTAAATTTTTTGGTTTGTTTGTTTGTTTTTTTTTTGTCAGTTTCCTTGAGCTTCAGCAGTCGTTGACGCCAGAGGGTTTACAGCCGATTACTGACGTTGCCTAAGTTTGTGTATCAAATCATTTTTCACTCTGTGAAAACATAACAAAGTGGGGGGGAAATGGCAGAAATCTGTCATTTTATGTGTAATATTTTTCTCACACCCGTAGTTAATATCCAAAAAAACCCCTAAAAGGATGGGAAATGCTTTCAGATTCTATTCTGCTGAAATCACGATGATGCAGACTTGCAGATTATGTACTTCCTGTTCTAACACATTGCGAAGTTTTCTGTTTGATCCGTGAGGGGTTTGTGACCTTGCTTCCACTGTTGTTGCTAACCACATGCAGTAACAATACCCAGATGGGTTGTTGCGCTGGTTATTTGGTGGTTAAACGAGCCAAAAGAGGGTGGCATGATTTCCTGCTTCGCTGTAATTCTGCGATAAACTTCCTCAAAGTTGTAAAGCATGGTGTGATGAGTAATGTAGCTACATACATTATCCTTGGAGCTCGTATTACTGGAGCCTCCATTCACAGAAACCCTGGTCAGGTTTCACACAGCTACCCACTGTTCCTAATAAAGTGCTCAGTGTTTCTCATTTATTACGTGAAATGACTACATTAACTTTTTTTTTTTCTCCACAGGTCCAAACACTGGTGTGTAAGCAACAAAATAAAGATTATTACACAAGTGCAACTTGATTTTTGTCGCTTAATGGAAAAGAGTGTCTCTGGAGGTTTTGCTTCTATAACTAAATAGTACAAATAAGTAGTACAGGGCAAGAAAACAAGTGACAGACAACTGGAGGCATTTAGCCTTTGAAATTTATTTATTTTTATCAGCAAGACAGTTAACATTGTGTCATTAAAAAAAAATGTTAACAAGCAAAACACAAAGGAATGAAATGTGAGCTTATTTTTTTTTTCCCTTTTCTCAGGATGAAAGCTTTTAAGCTTTTACAGAAACAAGTCTTTTGAAGCATCGAGTCTGGAATGTTTAAACAGTTTGACCTAAAACTGAACCTCTCTCGGGTACCTGGCTGTCTTTTTTGTTTTTGTCCTGCTCTTTGGCCCTCTGCAACCTCTACCAGAAATCTAAAAGGAATGCACTTAACAATACTCTAGTATACAGCCACTAAAAGTAATGTGAAATTGAAGCTCACATTAGAGCGATGACACCCAACATGCTACACCTTGCTGTAATTGGACCTCTACTGTAACAAAGATGATACACTGACTCCCTTTTAACAGTCATAACTGACCACATCCAGTGACTAAACTTTTACTGTGTGCAACAGACAAACTATTAGTATTAGGGTCACATGAAGGGGGAACTATTCTCAAAATTAATAATAATGAAAATGTGGAGATTTTGTCATTTTTATTCTATAGACTGCCTCATGGAGTTAAGCTGATGAAACTTGTGTTTATTGGTACAACATCTGTACTGCATAAGTGTGACCATAAATGTCCTTTCATCTGGTTAAAATGAAATAGCTGGAGATGGACAGATGCATCTTTCTGCACCTTCAGTGTCTGTATGCTCATGGCCACGTTGTTTCTCTTCCCCCTTTAACGTGGCCCTAATACGCATTCATAAATAAACCGCATAACTTTTCAGGAGAAAAAATGTTTAAAAAAATAAAATTCAGGTTTTACCAGCTGAATTTGTTAATGTGTTCTCATGGCTGGGTTTGGCCACAATAATCTAGAGGCCTGTCAGGTTAGTGCATGACATGTTACAGGATTTATTAAGCTAAATGTCTAAAAAATGCCTTTTAATCAAAATATGGTTCTGAAGTAATGTAATCAAAGCTATAGAAAAGGAAAGGAAATATGTAAACACTGATGTGCTGCTTGTATGTAAAGCAGCGGCCTTTGTTGACAGGAGGTGGTTAAGGGTGTAAAACCCTAATCCGCCTCTTAGTACACATTTGAATAGTACACTGTCCTCTCCCGATGGGCATTCTTGAGCTGGTTCAGGAGAACTATGGCGCAGATCATGGCCGTCATCTGTTGTGCAGACAAAGGAGGAGGGCAAGTAAAGAGCAGGGATGGGATAAAGAGCTATGCAATGACCAACCCACTACATCATCTCGAGAATTGAACCAGCAACAGGTGAAAGAGTGTGAAGGAGGCTAGACCTTCCAGCCACAGCAATCAGATAGCATGCAGCTACGAAAGTGTGAGAGAGAAGTCGAAACAAACAGGACAAATCCAACCCTGTTGATGTACTGGCCGTGTGTGTTTAAAGGCACTAAAGTAAAGATTGAAGAGTTGACTAGTGGTGGAGGGAATATTCAGAGCGCCAGAGGGTTTCTTATACTGTTTTGCCAGTAAATATCAATCTTTCTGCAGATGAAGCAACTTTGGTGATTTAAAAATGTGAAAACTCATTTACTAAATGCTGTGATCTGCTGTCAAACCTGTCAGCTGCAAGCTGAGTCGTGTGTGTTAGGTTGGATTTCTCCTATAACAACTGCTAATGATAAAATTGAGACAATGCTGAGAGCAGCAGATGGAGTATGTGTAGTTCACACTAAAGCAATGTGGAGTAAAATCAAAATGGCGAGAAAAGCGCAGTGAGAATGAAGAGTGCACTAAGCATAAGCCACAGGGATGTTGGCTGCGCTGAGAGGAGTGAAAAAGACCGGCTCCTGGTCAGCGTGTGTGCTGGTGACTACTTCATGCTGAGCTGGCAGAAAGTTAGCCTGAGTAGAAGTGGTCTGAGTCAGGATAATGTACTGAGGTGTTGAGGCAGAAACAATCTTTCTGCTGAGGGTGATGCTGCAAATCAGAGCGATGAACTTTGGAATGATTGGGGAAATAAAATGAGAAGAAAAAGTTCGAAAAGGGAGGGGAAAGAAGTATTTAAGAGAGAGAGGAGTGCAAAGTGATTAATGTATGGCCATTGACATGAACAACAATATAGAACCTTTAGTACTGTGTATAGACTAATAGTAACAGGAACAACACTATCTTCCCTACTATTTGTAGCATTTGCCAACTCATTTGAAGCTTTACTTGTTGCAAAGTAAACATGCATTATTTGCCTACCAGGAGCACTCCAGTTCCAACGAAGATGCCCATCATCATTGGTGCTTTACTGCTAAAGACCTCTGCGATGACGCCAGGACAGCTCTGCAGGAAGACCAAACAAACTGAGCATCTAGTACAGTACAGCTGAGTGAAAGAGGTAAAGCAGTGCAGTTTGCAGTGGTGGCAGGACCACTGTAAACGGCTTCATTTATTGGCACCAACTTACAGGCATCTTGATGCTTTCTAAAAACCCATCTGGTTCGGGGCAGGTCGGCTTAACGAGCTCTATTATGGAGACGCCAGTCGCTCCACAGCAGTGAAGCTGCAAAGCAGGCAGATGAAGGAAGAGGTGAAGGGAGGCAAAAAACAAGTCTTAAACACTACCCTGTGCAGCCCTGTGGAGAAACTAAACACCCTTACTGCTTCCACAGGAATTGAGATGGACACAGCTGACAGTGACGTCTTCTGTGTGTATCAGCCATATAACTCGTATGCATAAAGCAGAGAAGACTTGAGTATACAGGAAGCAAGAGTTAAAATTTAGTATTAGGTAAAAATGAAAAACAGCAGCTTATATACGTACAGTGTTGTGGATGAAGGTGAGTGTGACAGCAATTCCTGGGTCTTGATTGTGCACATAGAGACCATACAAGCTAGCATAGAACTCGGCAAACTTGAGTCCAACCTTTAACATGAGAGATCAAAACACAATCTTATGGTCGGGACATACTGGACACATTAATTGATTTTCATCCCTTTTATCAGTATTTTCTCTCACCTCATCCCTTTTGTGGTTGGCAAGCACTCCAACAACAACTACCAGTGTAGCCAGCATGGCCAGAAGGGCGGAGAACTGAAGAGACAGGAAGAACTCTGTTAACTTTAACACTTTAAAGACACTTTAAACACACGGGAACAGGAAGTGAAACAGCTTTTCCAGTTTTATGTGGGAGCATCAAGAGAAGACGAGGTTTAACATTGCAGTAAATTCTAACAAGGACCCGTTTCAAGCTTGGCTGAATATTTTGCTCATTCCACTGTTTTTGTTTGGAGTCATTTCCTTGTTAAAGTCGCAGAGCCTGTTATGAAAATCCCTTTGCTGCATTACTTCTGTGTATTAGGTCACACTTCCAACTGGCTTGCCTTTGCAGTACGTAACTAACGAGGAATGCCTCTCAATTTTCCTCTCAAAAGAGATGGTCAGAAGTGCAGACTTTCAAAGATTAAGAGTACTCACCAGAGGCAGAGCTATGAGTAACTAAACTATCAGCTCAAATTCCCCATCCCTTCCTTGCATCTGGGATTCTGCCTGCAGTTTTGATACAGCCTGAAGATTTCAGAGCAAAAAATTTAACTGGTACTGGACATTAATTTCCTTTAACTTTAACATCCTTAAAAACCAAGAGGGCTTGACCCGAGGATGTAATTTACAGTTAGGACACTGTACATTTGCACAGCAAAGGGGGAAAAAAACAGCCAAGAAAACTGAGCGGTCACTGTGATTATTGCCAGTTGCCTGTTTCGTCAGCGTGATTACACAAGTTACAAAATATCCTCTGTCAAGGCCAACTGGGTAATACACTTCACACGTTGCAATCAAATGTTCTGTGTATCTGAACCTGGATAAAGGTCTGAATCAAAAAGCCAAATGTTTAAGTGGTTCAAAAACCTCTGCATCATATAAGACGCTCAAAAGGTGCTTGCACACTCCTGTGTTTCTGTGTTTCAGACCTCCCAAAAGTAACTACAGCTTTCAGCAAGATGTGAAGAAACAAATTCTGCAACTTTATGTGCAAAACATCTGCATGTTGTGTTGAAGAGACATCAACTTAAGTTGAGCTAGAGCTGTGCTGTACTTCTGATGTAATACCAATCTAAACCAAAAGATGGAGCAGTGAGTCAGTGTGGTCTTTTGGGTGGTTAAAAGAAATAAACGACCAGATTCTTTTCTTTTATCCAGCTGGCCAAAATTTCTTATCCATATGTTGGCCTTCTGTCTTTAAAAGAAAGCAATTAGCTAGCTTTCTTGAAGTTCCTAACTTCGGTCATTGAGGCTAACAATTATAAACCTTTTAATATTTAAAGTCATGATATTCTAGTGCATGATCTGTGGATGGAATTGCACAATTCAATGCAGTTGCGTGAAAACCTTGTCTGATTGGTGGGGTTGGGACAGTTTTGCATTGCAAATCTCTAAACTTGTAGCCGTGCAGCTCCTGCAGACCAGAGAGACACGCCAACCTTTCTGCACTCTATTTCTACACTGTGTTTAGACTCTGATAGGATAAAATACTTGCACTGATGCTAAAAACCTTAGTAGGCTTACTCATCTGGCAGCAATAAGGGGAATCAATAGGGAACCAACTATATAAACAGAACCAATAATGGCAGTAGCATCAATAAAAGCAAAGCTTTTGGTTTTTATCACAATGCTACGCTCAGCTTTTGTTTGACTTTAAACAAAGTCACATTTTAATACTTAGTATGCTGCATGACGTTAACCTGCCTTGTATCTCATATCATCTTAGACTATTTGACTCATGGGGGGAGCACAGGCTCTGTGTAAATAGCCGTGCTTCCTTCCTTCCTGTTTCATTGTGTCATCGATGAATGGAGAAGACTGAGT